GATTGCCCAGCTTCCCCTAAACCCTAAACCCTAAAACGTAAACCGAGAAGCGAGACGTTTGATCTCGTTGAAGTTGACACCTAAAAAAGGAGATGTATTGCTTGGAGAGCAGGGGCACGGTGCCTCTTCTAGCTCAGTTGGCTAGAGATCTGGCGTAGCGAGAGGTAGGCTGCAGGTCCGACAATTGGAGAAAAAAGCTGAAGCGAGCCAGGTTGCTGAAACGGCAGAAAACGTGTTGGGACACGCCAATTATCACCGTACAACTGTCGTTTGCTATGCTCTTATCTTTTCGGAGTAAATGTTCTTCGACACTTTTTTGAAGTTTTTTCATATTGCTCTTTTCTCATTTGAATCTCACTTTTCATCACCATGAACCTTGTATCTGGAGAGATGGTTAACAAAGGCCTTTTTTTTTTTTTTTCAACCATTTCTCAATTTATATGTGTCATTGTTGTGCAAGGGCCATGCTAATCTTCTTTCTCTGTATCGTTCCATTTTGTTAACGGATGTCCCGAAGAACAAAGGCCTAATTTTTCGAACAATTTGTCACACCATTTATAACCAAAAAACTCAAGGGCCCCCTTAGCTAGCAACGGAACCAATCGTCCTTATCGTTGTAGAATTCAAGCACCTGATTTTATAAAACTGGGGTTCCTCTTTAACCACTTGTGTGCATCTAGAATACGATTTCCCATGGGAAAGCTACAAGCGTGCGTGCGTGCGTGCGTGCGTGCGTGCGTGCGTTCGTGCGTTCGTGCGTTCGTTCGTTCGTTCGTTCGTTCGTTCGTTTGTTGGGGGTAACTTCAGTAGAGACACAAAAACGAGTTATAAACTTATAATTGCACGATGGGGCAAGATACAGTTTGCAATTGCACTTTGGGCACCCTACCTGGCCAGAAAGCTGGGTTGTATACATTGCCCGAAGTGCAATTCGAGACTGTATCTTGCTTGGCCGATATATAGTGCAATTAGAACTCATTTTTGTGACTCCCGCGTAGTTTCCCCTTTTTTTTTTCTTTTTTTTTTTTTCCGTCGTGTATATCCTGTTTTTGTTTTGTGTGAACTTCTGCTTCTTCTCTGTCCTTCTTCATGAATGGATGAACTTATCTATGCTGCGCCGTGGCTGGACTGTAATTACTTACTAAACTCACTGCCTGTATCTGGCCTCAATTACAGCTGGTTTCATTAAAAAAAAACTGTAACTGTGGTTACTGTCCTACTTGCAGTAATGCCAGTAAAGCATATTTGATATGCTGTTGAAAGTGCATGTTGGTCGTACACGGCATACTACCTGCACGTATCGAACCTCAATCACAACCAGATTCAGTCCAAAAAGTAAGTATTACTGGGACGTATCTACCCTCGATCACAGCCAGATACTCAAAAATAAGTATTAATGGGATTACAGTCTTACTCAGTCAAAAAAGTAAGTATAAATGGTACATATCTAACCAATTCTAACGTCAATCATAGCCAGATTCAGTCAAAACAGTAATTATTAATGGGATTACACATCATTACTGTCTTACTCAGCCATACTAGAAACTTTCCTGGGCGTATCTGACCTTACTCACAGCCAGATTCAGTCAAAAAAGTAAGTATTCATGGGATTATATAGTCTTACTTTGCAATAAGCACCTTGGATATGTTGTTGACAGCTAGGTTGAGGTATTGCAGCTCCTTGAGGCGTCGCAAATTCTCTGCGAGGTGAAGATGGTGGTGGTGGATGACAAGATAAACAAACAAACAAACACAACAAGGATGACTTTTCAAACAAAGAAGGAAGACGAAGCTGCTTTTTTTGTTTGTTTACAAGAAGGGAATGGAGTCTCTCTCTCTCTCTCTCTCTCTCTCTCTCTCTCTCTCTCTCTCTCTCTCTCTCTCTCT